AAAAAATAGAAATGCCGATAATTTCGCTTGCCAACACAGTTACCAACCCACGGACCTGAACTGAAGCACTGGCATGCAAAAAGTCATAAAACATGAATGACAAAAATTGGATTTGACTGATTCTGCATCGGCTAAAATGTTCTCGACTTCTCATTGAATTACTAATTTTTTTTAATTTATTAGATTATTAGATTTTTTTTTTTAACTTACTAGATAAACCAGTGACATATTGCCCATCATGAAAAGTGAAAAAGTCACCCAAGTGAGGGGAAAAAACTCAAAAAAATTTTTAAAAAAGGTGCAAAAATCCGAATCGAAAAACCACTACAGCAGTAAAATCAGTTCAAAGGTGCAAGGTAGCACTGAAATGCTAACGTACGATCCGACAGAAGCTAAAATTAACGCTAAAATGCCAAAAATCGGAAAATACCAATTTAAAAAGGGATCATTTTGGAAAAGAGTCAAAAACGCGGCGTACTCTTCTCCTCCTCAGTCATATGGAGCTATTTTTCGTTTGTCTAAAATACAACAAAACAAAAGATAATTAAAGTATCTAATCACGATCAAACAAACAATCAGACTTTCCGTCGGATGAGAGCTGTGTAAAGTGCCAGTGCGACCATGCGAGAAAGTAAAATCCGATGGGCAAGGCATTTTGCTCACTTTACTGACAATCGTATCTATGAGTGATACTCGCAAGAAGTAAACGATCACTCGGGCGGTCCCATAAGAGATCATACACTGAATAGACTGAGGATATCAATAGAGGGAATGTAATTCGAAACCTAAAGATCTAAAACAGCTGCGCATGACGCACGAGTGCTCATGTGTACAAAACTAATATCGGATACCCACGTCAGATACCTATAGCACTGTAGAGATCTTGATAATTAAAAGAATTTTAAAAATCCTGATAATTACAAATTAATAAATCTAAATTTAATGAGTATACGATCATATCTGAAAAGTTCTCAGTCTAAGTAATTTCAGCGTTATGCATATTGTAATTGAAAAAAAAGCAAACTTATTAGAATTTTGTCAAAAAAAAACTAACAGTGATGGTCGAAATTCAGAATACAATTATCACACACCGAGCAATGGGATGAACGTGGCGGCCGAAATAATCGACAAGTAAAGCAATATTTTAATTTGATCAGTTGCCCATTGATCCGTACCGCTTTGGTACGAGGTGGTGCTCGCACCGCTTCTGACGTATAACTACTCTCTGAAACAGAAATTTTGGTATTTTTTGGAATATTTGCTCCTTGACGCCAATAATGCAACAGGGGAGGAGGGGGGGGGGCAGTGTTCCAGTGCAATTTGTACATTAATAAAAGTGATTTAAAAATGACAAATAAATAGATACAATATCAGGAAAAGCTGTCCACTCATGGTCTAATCGCCCATTCTATCAGCTGGCGATTTTTCCAGCTTTCTTAACTAGTCCTAATGACCAGTTTTCTAGCAATCCTGACGTTCGCTTCGTTTCTTGAAAAAACTACTAATTCAGTAGTTCTCGACTAAATTATTTCGAAAAGCTCTGGTCGATTCGAGATGGAATTAAGTGTCTGTTCAATAATACTACTGAGGTTAACATTCCTAAAGTACGATTGGGCAATTTAACGACTAAGACCTAGGCACCAATCTAAGCGAGAAACATTTTTTTGCAGTGTTTTCTTGAAATAGGCTGTTCGGAAAATCCGTTCAGAGAAGAGATAACGCATGTAAAATATTCCCTTGGGAAATCACTTCAAATTTTAATAACACATCTCTGGAAAAAAAAGCCCCCAACAACAATTTCTTGAGCTTTTAGAAAAAAAACTTTTGCAGTCATGCGGATCTTTGTAGATGTTCAAGTGGATCTTTCTAAATCATTGGAAATTTCTTTGCATTGTAACTGGATACTGAATGTATGAATGCAACCGAAAACAATGATACCTGCCATGTTTTGCCGATCGAGTTCTATGGCTTCAAGATTTGTAGCTTTTGGCAGAATTCCCGGATCCGAGAATGATGTTTTGAATAAATTCACTAGCACAAGGCACAGTAGCATTCCCGCAATAACAGGCAGCGCTGGTGACACATTAAAAAACAAATATGGTGCACTGCAACAATCCACAGAATCAAAAAGCAAACATCGTTTTGAGTACTTCTACGCCAAACTGGTTAAGAATGGCAAAAAAAATAAAAATAAAAAAAAACAGCCGGATTTATACAAAAACCAAATTTATGGATTCACAGATTTTTTATTTATCCAG